CCCCCCTCCCTTTTCGGTGGCGGACTGATCTTTTCCGGGCCTGCCCGAAATTAAAATGCATCAAATAATGCACGGGGCTTGTATAAAAAAAAATCTGGGGCTACGCCCAACACATCCCATACGGCATCCTAGCAAATATTGTGGGTTTCCGTTATCTGATATTTTTACTATATTTTCTTTATTAAAGCAATACTTGTTGGCATCGCTACGCTCGTCTACTTGTATCTTGACCCTAAAGTGTGTTTTTTGTTTTACCACCTCCGCAAAACCCCAAGTTGCAACTTGCAACGCTCGGCGTAAATATTATTGACCGCTCGTTATAGATGATCTGAAATTTAATACTTTTTATTGTAACCTTCCTATATATATAACCGCCAGGGCGATATTAATCATATCATTATACAAGAACGATAAAGTTTGTTTTGCCAAATTAGGTAATTAATGAACTAGCCCCCTGTGGATTCATACATTTGTCATCACCAGGTTGCCCTATAATAATACCATATGACACGCTGTTGATAGAAAATTTGAACCGAAACTTTAATTTTCTTTCCAGTACACAAAAAAAGTCTTTGGGCCATGCTTACAATATGTTTTTTTCTTCTCGTTAATTAAACATAAAAACAATCCTCAGAACATAGGGAATCGCTTTTGAGACGTTCTAGAAAACCCAATGTTTTTGGGGGGGGGGACCCCCCCCCCCCCCCCACCCCCCCTACGGGAAGGGGAAGACCCCGTCCCGTACCCTCGCGCTACGCTACACCGTTGACTATTGAGAAAAATTTCTCGGCAACCCCCCTTTTAGGAAATCCTGGATCCGTCCCTGACCACTGTTAAATCCCAAATGGAAGAAATGTGGTGCAGCGGATACTTAATTTGTTAAGCTTTCAGCATCGAGTTACTGATTCTTTTGAAGGTACTTTTTTACAGTGTATATCCAGCGATTTTTTTTATTAACATCACAGGGGAATTGACTTTAATGAACAATCAGTCACACAGGTTGGCCGTACCGTTTACTCTTCTAGTTAACAATTAGTCACCCGGGTTGGCCGTACCGTTTACTCTTCTAGTTAACAATTAGTCC